GCTGAAAAATAGGATAAATAGACCACCTTTCAATTGTGACTTGAAAAAAAATAAAAACAACTTCTTGGTATAGCTGGTTACTTAGTTACTTTGAATTTCATCCCCCAAACTTCTTTTGTTTCGTGCTCTGGAGGAAGAAGTCAATTTATTTTATTTTTTTTTAATTAATAAATTTTATTTTTATATTCCCCATACAATTGCAATCCCCCCATTCTGACCCCAATCCCTCCCCTCCCGCCCCCCAACCCCCAAAAAGTGTCTCTGGTTCATAGTTTTTGTTGATTTTGATTGTCACTTTCTTATAGTTATTCATTTTCCTGGTCCCTTATTTAAGTTTTCTAGATTCCTGCTATGAGTGAGACCATCCAGTATTTTTCTTTTTCTTTTTGGCTTATTTCACTGAGCATGATCCCTTCCAGTGCCATCCATGTTGCTGCAAATTGCATAAACAAACAAACAAAAAATACAAAAAACCCCACAAAACTCAAACTCCTTTTACCTTGTCAAGAGCAAACGAATGAATAAGGTTTGTAGTATTTCCTTTTAGTGTTTGAACTCCTTAAGAAGATTCCTTCAGGGGCCTCCCCGGTGGCGCAGCGGTTGAGCACTGGGCTGCAAAGCTGCCCGCAGCCTCTGCAGCGCCGGTTCGATCCCCCACCACTGGCGAGGGTCCCACATGGCACCCAGACCTTTCCTGCAGCGCCAGCTGCTCCCCTCAGCAGTGTATTTCGTCAGTCTGCCTGTTCTGTTCCCCGTTCTGGCTCTGTCGCGCGCTTCTGACTGTACCCAGTGCTTGTATAAATAAATAAATCGTTTTTTAAAAAAGAAGATTCCTTCAATTGGGTGAGATCACAGAGGTTTGAGAACTACTGATGTAATATAAAAAGAATTACAATTGAATAGGTTAGTACTCACAACACAGTTTAAGAAATCATTAGCTTAGAAATCTCCAGCACAACCAAACTTCTATCACCTCACCTCCCCCCTTATCCTGCCAGAAGTAATTATATTCTTATTTTTGTGTTAATTGCTTTCTTTTGTATTTTTATCTCATATGTTATGTACCTAGAGGATGTACCTTATAGATGTCTCCACGTGCTTATATGTAAGATTTGTATCTAAGGTACAAACCTAGGAAATATACACTCAATAATGTAGGAAGGTTTTTAAAATTGAGTCAATTCTTTAGGAGTGTTGGATATTTTATTTCTTTTTGAGTCAGTTTTAGTAAGTTGTAACTTTCTAGAAATGTGTATTGTATCTGATGGAGGAGAAGAATAGAAAGAGGGGAAAGGAGGTGCCCCAAGACCAGAACCTGATACAAAAGGAGGTGGGGGTAGAGGGGAATAACATATGACTATTAACCCAGCTGTAGAGCTCCGGACCCTTGATGCCCTTATCACAAGGCGTAAGCAGGATCAGACTGCTCTAGGGAGTAGAGCACAGACCTGAGGGGAAAGATATGGAGATTGGGCCCACTCTAGAATCTCTGGTCCCTTCCTGGTTTTGCCTAGTTATCCCAAATCAGCAACAAACAGGCCACTCCATGGAGGAGTGACCCCCTCCCAAAGAGAAGAGGACTATATCAGTGCAGTCTCTGCACAGGCTCAGGGGAGCACTCCCACTGTCCACCTGTGGCTATGCAAGTGCTTCTGTTCACCAACTCTGTCCTGCAGGGCAGCAGCTTTCTGGCTGCCGGTGACCTGTACCAGGCTGGGACTTCTCCTCACTGACCTCCCTCAACGGAGGCCGCTCTCTCAAGGCCGCCCGCCTGCAACCATACAGGCCTCTCGTAGCAAAACCTGTCCCTTTCCCTTTCCCTAATAAACCTGCTCTTTATATATAACCAACATCTCTGTCCTGTGGAGAAACGTGCCTGGGGAACTCGCCGCGTGTCGCTGAAACGAGAGCTCTGGTGACACCTTTCCCAGAGTGACCCCAAGGACCCCACACTAACTCCAAAAACCTCATCATATCTAAGTTTCAAATTTTTAGTATAAATTCATTCATCATATCTGTAGTTATGTTTCCTTTTTCATTAATAATATCATTTATTTGTATCTCTCTTTTTAAAAATCACTCTCATCAGAAATTTGCCAATTGTATTAATCATCTGAAAGAACCTACTTTTGGGTGGTTAATTTTCACTATTGTGAGTTTGTTTTCTGACTTTTAATTTCTTTCCTTTTTCTTTGGACTTATCTTGCTATTATTTTTCGATTTCTTAAGTTAAATTCTTTGTTAATGATATGTAGCCTTTTTTCTTTTCTTGTAGATCCAACAGAGATTACATATCCCTCTAATTATTGTTTTAGCTGCATACCAGAAGTTTTGATCTGTAGAATTTTTATTATCGTTTAGTTCTAAAGGTTGCCTAATTTCATTATAATTTTTTCTTGAAACAGTTGCATTTTTAGAAATGTAGTTCTTTATTTTCAAGTATTGAATGTGTCTGGTTATTATTTTGCTGTTGATTTCTAAATTATGTGGTCTGATAATGGAATATTTTCCAGTAATAGAAAACTGTCATTCTGAACATTCATGGACAATGCTGCTGACTAATTGTTGCTTCTCTTACACACATTGTAACCCTGAAAAAAGACTGTCTCCTAAGACTACACCCTGAGATCTGTGCCACCATAGATATGGTGGAATAAAAATTAAAAAGGGGGATTGTAACAGGAAAGGGGGAGGTTTCAGGTTTCCTGCCCCACCCAAAAGGAGGGTGGAGCTGAGCAGAGAGAAGAAGCTGCAGAGGAGACTGAGAAAGGAAGGAAACAGAATGGAGAACAGAAGGAGACCTGCAGGAGGCACATGGAGTGAGAGTTATGTAAAGAAACTGTGTTTGCCTTTTGGTCGTGGATTGGGTGACACAGATGTGGGTGAGAGGCCCGTGGGGAGGTGACAATGGCGGTTTTTATCTTGATTTTGATTTTGCTCTTTTTCTCCAAGACTTGTCTGGTTGTTTCTGATCCTTTTCTGTGGGTCCCCACTGGAAGATGCTTTAGACTTGTGACAGGCTTTGGGGCCTTTCTCTGGGCCAATCCTGTTTGGGTGGACTTTTACCCACGAGGGGATGGGTAACTTTGGGTGCATGATTTAGAAACTATATTCTTTGCCTTTCCTGTATTGTTTCCTAATTGTATTAAAGTTCCTTCCCATTAAAGTCTCATGTTTTGTGTTGATGCAGCAGATGGCAGAACCTATTTAGAGCAGGCAGGTTTGTGGGGCCTGGGGTGCCCCTCTCCCTGCCCGGTAATAATACCATTGAAACTTGTTGAGATTTGCTTTATGGGCTAGTTTGTGGTTATTACAAATTTGATCTCTGTCCCCACCTCTTCCTCCTCTTCATCTATTCCCCTCATTGGCAATTATATTTGCAGTTCCCTGGGAGATTGGAATTATTTCTAGTTCATCTTTCCACTGAGGGTGTACCCTTTGAGTTCTAGCTTTATTCTCTGTTGAGGCCTTGGGTTTTAGCTCCTCTTCCTCAGCCCCAGGAGGCTGTGCATGTCAAAGCTCCTATTAACCAGCTGGAGTGTTTGCCCTCAAGACAAGGCAATACCAACATTCACTCCCCTCTGCTTGTTCCCCTTTAGTTTTTATCTGAGTATTCATTCCTTACATGATTATAGCCTGTTTGCTAATACATTTAAGAAGATTGAAAAAAGATAAATATTATCCCATACTTTTCATTGATTGGGAACCTAGTCTTCCATTTGCCCATCAATAGATATATTGATATATTGATATATTCTTTGATAACTGTTGAATTCTTCTAACATGAAATAAGTAATAGATTCAAGGAGCTTAAAGCTTTGCCAATTGAGGCAATCCCTGGATGTAATGTTAAGGAAAATTTTAACATAAAAGATGTTGATATCTGAATATCTGAAACCAAATATCTGAAATGAAAATATCTGGAAAAAACCAAAATATCAGAAAACCCCTAAAATATCTGACTACACACTGAAAAGAGAAATTATATATTTTATATTCCATTTAGAGTCTTCAAAATATGACCAACAAATCTAAATAATTCCAAAATGACCCCCATGTGTTTACCAAAGAGTTACATAGAAGTGTTCATGGCATCATTTTTTTCTGTCTAAAATTGAAGGGGTAAAAAAGAACCAACAGGGCCTCCCCCGTGGCGCAGCGGTTGAGCGCTGGGTTGCGAAGCTGCCCGCGGCCTCTGCGGCACCGGTTCAATCCCCGGCTGCTCCCTGGCCACCAGAGGAGGGTCCCACATGGCGCGCAGACCCCTCCTGCCGCCCGCTGCTCCCCTCAGCAGTGTACTTCGCTTCTGCCTGCTCTGCTCCTCGCTCTGGCTCTGGTGAATTCTCTCACCCTCCCGCGCTTCTGACTGTGCCCAGTGCTTGTAAAAACAAACAAACAAATAAATAAATAAATAAAACATGCCTCTAAAAAAAAAAAAAAAAAAAAAAAAAAAAAAAAAAAAAAAACAACAAAGTCTTACAAATGGTAGAGTAGTTAAATTTGGAATATTACATTGAGAATAATCTAACTACAATCACAGGGAACTAACATGAATGAATCTCATATATATAACATGGAATGAGAGAAGTTCAATACATTAATGTATAAGTGTATGTGCCTCCATTTGTATGAAGTGCACTGTGTAGAAGTGAACAAACAAAATGAATTCATTGTAGTAGAAGTCAGGATGACTATTACTCTTGAGAGAAGATTAGTAATAGGAAGGGAGGGTAAGGGGACTTTTGGGGATCTTCCATATCCTATTTCTCTATCTGGAAATTTGTTACATAGGTGTGTTCATTTTGTGAAAATTAATTGAGCTCTACATTTTTATGTGTGCGTCTACTTCAATAAAATTTTATATTATGAAATATAAAAAGCCACAAGATTTTTAAAAGAAATGAAATATCTACTTGTTGTGTCTCTGGGTTTTAAAAAAAGGTTTGTGCTCATAAAGTATTAATGTAATGTAATTGTAACTCTTTAATGACTTTTTTCAGAAAGATTTGCGGCCCTGACCTTGAGAAGCAGAAGTAGGAAAAATGGAGATACTTATCCTTCTAAGTGTGGGAAGCCACTGTTTTCCCCAGTGTGAGTTATACTATAGAATTATGGAGCAAACTGTACTTGTCTCATTAGGACATGAGAAGTCTGAGCTGTGTGTTAATCTTATTCTTTGCCAGTTGTCCTCATTCTACTCCAAGCCTATTTCTTCATCTGTGGAAAGGAAACACATACCTACTACACTTGCTGGTATCTAGTAAATCATCGTTATTTTCATTATCAATTATTTTATTAATATATTTTTGAATAGCAAAATTGGTTCTAATCTATCTTTGTTTAATTTCTGCAGTGACTCATCATCTGAGTGTAATTATTTCCCTAGGATCCCGAAATTATTTTTCTGTGTTTACCATATAGAAAAATCTGAGTTCCATTCTCTGCCATTGCTCTTTGTAAAATATTCTTTGATACCAGTGACTCATTGTCATCCTACTAAGAAATGCAATGGGTCATTTCATTTTATATCTATGGTTTGTCTTGGACTAGAGGGAAATATCCCCAAACCCCAAGTCCTCTAAGGAGAAATTCCAACTCAAGTTTACTCACCAAGACTTGTAAGTAGATTCTAGGAATCTTCATAAGAAGAATTTGGATTCTTCATGTTAATTTATGCCCTGAATTTAAACATAGGTTATCCCTTATTCTGTTGTTTGTCAGGATTCCTACATTTTTCATTTTAACCTCATTTTCTGCATCATAGGTTTCCATCCTGAGATGGAGATAAATCATGCTGTCCCAATCTGTTTGTAGCATATTAATCATCCAGTTCTCTTCAGTGGGCTTTTCATGTGGTTCCCTGTTTTACATCTGTCCTTTCTTGTACAAGACGTGCAGCCTACTCTTATTTTCTATTTATTTTTAAAATATGATGTAAAATTGTGGATTTTTCCCTATGACATTTCTACTAAAGTTATTTGAATCTGGGGCACTCTGTAATTTCTATTTATATTATCTTTGTGTTGTATGGTATTTCATCTCCTAAGCCCCTCAAGGGAAGGGGCACCTATAACGACCTCTGGTAATGATTTTCTCAATTCTCCCTACTCAGAGAGTCGGCAGGTCTCGAGTTTCTTCAGGGCACAGATCACCCAACTTCATTTTTCAGCTAATCCGTAGGTAAACCGAGTGATCCTTTTGTTGTGCTAGGATATAGAGAGAAATTTATTTGCAAGGCAAATAGAAAACACTGAACAAACTTTAATCTCTTAAGGCAGGATGTTGGGAGAAATATATTCTTCCAAATTGTCTGTCTTTTCTGAAGATTTGATTATTCCTGAAATGAGCATACGTTATAATTTTTACTTTAAAATTAGAGTTAAGATAGAAACTTATTAAGTTTTGTATAAACATTCTGCAACTGTCAGTTACATTACTTTAGTTATAGCATAATAATGCTGGCATCATTGACATTACCTAAAATTCTTTTGTATTTTGGGTTATGTTTTGACAGTGGCCTTTATTTGTGTTTTTGAAAAGATAGATAAGACATTGCTGAGGTTATTTTCCCCAGTGAATAATTTGAAAGATATGATTGGTATATTTCAATACTAAGTTTTCTGCTGTCATTGCAGTGACAATGCAATTATAAAATATGCTTGCAAGTACTCCCAATCATTATATCTGGCAGTTCAGGTGGCTATAGTCCCTCGGGAGGGTAATTTTCCCTCTTCTGTCTCCAGATTTCCTCTTAAATGTCAGTGTTTTTTTTTTTTTTCCAGGGTACAATCTTTGGCTTCTTTTCTTCTATGTCATCACTATTTCTGCTATGTTATGCAGTCATCACCATAATCCCACACCCCTTGGCTGACTCTCATATCTTCATCTCCATCATAGATGTCATTTCTTTCTTTCTTTTTTTAAAGATTTACTTATTTATACAAGAGCTGGGGTACAGACCAGAGGCGTGGGAGGGTGAGAGTATTCACCAGAGACAGAGCGGGGAGCAGGACAGGCAGACCGACCGGACCGAAGTCACTGCTGAGGGGAGCAGCGGGCGAGGCAAGAGATGTCTGTCGCACCATGTGGGACCCTCCCTGGCTGGCCAGGAATTGAACCAGCGCTGCAGAGGCTGCCAGCGCTGCAAAGGCTGCCAGCGCTGCAGAGGCTGCGGACAGCTTCACAGCGTGGCACTCTACCCGCTGTGCCATGCAGGATACCCCATAGGTATCATTTCTAAGCCTTCTTTTCTCTATAGTAAACTGCTGGCTAGTTCTGGAAAATGTTCACCTTTAGGTCTCAGTACCCAGGAATCAGTGCTTTCTTAGTTGTCTGAAACCACTAGCTCACTAGCTTATTTTTTACTTAGGCTCTCAATGAAACATGTGTTAAGTGTGTTTCCCTCTGTCCTGGCACTAGGAACTTCAGGGCAGATTTGGTGGCCTACATGTAGTTGTTTGTTAGGCTCTGTTTTTTGTGTATTAACCTCAGTTCAGTCTTAATTCTCTTCTTCATCTTTCATCTACTAATTTGTTTATCTTATGATATATATTTATATAACCTTGTTTTAGAATAGATAGGGTAAGAATATAATATGATTTGACATGTATTATATATATATATATATATATATACCCCCTCTGAATCTCTATTCCTTGATGGTGTGTATGGGTACCCTTACTTTCAACCCTCTTCCAAAAATTCTCTACCATGAATTAATCCAAATAGTCTCCCAAACTAGTAACAAACTTAAATCTTTTATTCATCCTTCTGTCTTCTCCACCATCACATCTAGTTATTCACATCTAATTAATCATCAAACCCTCCCAATCCTGACTGTCGCAGATCCAACTGGACTATTACTATTACTGTTCTGTATTCTGTTTCCAGAATAGACTTCCTATATACTAGACCTGTTTAAAACCCTTCACTGTCTCCTCTTTACTTACAAGATAATTTCTATACTCCTCTGTAAGATAGCAAGGTGCTTCATGATTTGAACACTGGACTCCTTTCTCTCTATAATGGGAGCTTATTCTCTACCTAAGGCTGTAGCACTCTCAAGTCGCCTCTTATTGCGGGTTGGATTCCCTTGTGGCAGACAGAGCTTGAAAAGCAGGAGTGTGGTCAGGGCTTGCTTTTAGGGTTGCCACCAGTAGACAAGAAGGAAGACAGCAGAAAGGGACTGAGATAGAAGTTGGGCTGTGACAAGTGTTATATTGGTGCTGACTTGCATGAAAATTAACAAAGACCATAAATTGGGGCTTTCCCCTTTTCCTGGAGAACCTGCTTACCAGGTCACCTCTGGCTGCAATGCAATCTCAGTTAAGGCTTCAGCTAAATCCACAAGGAGTTTGAAAGCTGGGCTAACCCCTTAGAATTTCAGAGTTATCCTGAATTCGAGGTGAGGGGGCTGGGCATCTCTACTTCTGTATTATCATCATTGGATATAGATTTACCCTAGAAGGGGGCATGAGTTTAGTTTGGCCAAGGTAACTATTCAGCTGAGGCAACTTCAAAAGGGGACTGACAGCTGAAGGCCATTAAAGGTGTCATCCCAACAGCAATAAATCCTTCAAGTGAAGCTTCCCCAGTCCCAGATGGCCTCCCCATTTGCAACTCTGTGTGGCAGAGCAAGATTTAAGTTTATGATAGGCTTTTGGCTTTCCTAGCCTGGGAGCTGCAAGAGATAAAGGAGTCCTATGGAAGAATGAGGTGGAGTCTCTGGTTTTCTCTCTATCCCTTGAATTAACAACTTAAGAATTATAAGTGTATCGGCTTTATTATGCTACACGCCCCAAAGCCCTCTAGTTTGTCAGCTTCTCCATGCCCTTTTATGAAGTGGTTCTCAACTGGGGACAGTTTTGCCTCTGAGGGGACATTGGGCAATGCCTAGAGATATTTTTGGTTTTCACAACTGTGGGCAGGGATACTACTGGCATTTTATGGGCAGGGATGCTGCTAAATATCCTATAGTGTGACACAGGTCAGCCCTCACTCCAAAGAATGGCAGAGTCTGAAATGTCAGTAGTGCTGAAGATGAGAAATCCTGCTCCATGGCATTGATTGCTCAATGTGCACTTCATTTTTTAATGACCAGAGGGAAATAAAGAAATGAATTGTTTCACCCAGGAGAGGGTGAGAGTCCCTGCATCCTTCGCTGAATTTTCATTTCCTTTTATCTTGACTCAGTCAAACAATCAGTCTCAGGTTCCACCCTATTTCTCTGGGCTTTTATTTCCTGCAGCCATCCCTGTATCAGTTAGGATGTTGTTGTAAAGAAAAAAAACAAAAACAAAACAACTGACCTTGAATTAAACAGGGAAGAAATTTATTGACAGGCTATGTGTAATTTATAGAAATATCAAGAGGGCTGGGTTTTAGGCTCCCCATTGAAATCAGGTAACCCAGTTCATCCAGATGCTAGATATTCACTAACACCACAGAGTTGGTCCAGTGAGGAGACTGCTACTGCAACACACAGCTTGTGCATCGACAGGCTGTTCCATCCCAGGTGCCGGGCCGCTGCATCCCTCTGTAGTGTGTTACCACTGCCTTTGCTATTATTGCTAGAGAAAATCTTTGCTGTTCCTGCTACATTGTGTGCCCTGTTTCAAAGTCTTAGGCTTCATCCTGAACATATGAAGCCAAAGGCATTAATTGCAAAGATTGTGAGTGTGAGTATCTGGCAATTTCAGCTTGGATGGTGGAAGATAGCTTTTATCTAAGACCAAAACAAATAAGGAGGGCAAGTCACAGGTATAATGTTTAAGTGCTGCAGAGTAAAATAGTGATAATTTGTGGTTGAAAAAGATGTTCATTCTTCCTGACATCTGCACACATTTCAGGCCATTTCATTGTAAACCTCTCTGACAGCAAAATCTTACAAGTGCATCATTCTTTATGTTATCCAATGTGTTATCTCAGGTTAATAGGTTTCTGATCTTGTCATAACTCTCTGTCTCTGTCTCTGTCTCTGTCTCTGTCTCTCTCTCTCACACACACACACACACACATTCATACCACGGTGGATAGTCTGGTTACCATAATTACATCCTCAGTATAAAAATAGGTATATGTCCCCAAAAGAT